AAATTCAAGGCTTGCCTCCACTTTTTTTTGAGACAAACATTCTACTAGAGTGGCAATCTCGTAGTCTTAGCCTCCTGAGTAGCAGCCATTTGGAATCTTTTTTTTTTTTTCTTTTTAGTTCTAGTTAGGGAACAAGCTTATTTCAAGTCCCTTCTCCCTCTCCCTCCCCTCACCCCAACCCTCCTCCCCCACCCCAAACACCCACCGCTCCCGCCATTTGCAATCTTAGACAAATTATGTATCACTTCATTAAATTTTTAGTGTTGTTCTAAGAATCCTGGACCTCACACATTCTGGGCAAGCTCTCTACCAGTGAACCATACCCCCAGCTTCCTCAATCAATCTCAATACTAGCTAGCCTCCCTAGAATAAAATGGGCTAGCCTAAAAGGGCATTGTGATTGAGATGAACCTAGAGCAACATATTTAAGGTAGAAAGAAAATAGGAGTTCAGAAAAAAAAATAAGAGAAAATTTAAAGGCTTGGAGATAGCTCAATGGGTAAAGCACTTACTGTGCAAGCAAGCATGAGGCCCTGAGCGTGGGTCCCCACTATTCCATGTAAAACCTGGGCATGACAAGTCAGACTTGTGGCCCCACCAATGGAGATGTGGAAACAGGCAGATCCTGGGGATGGATGGCTAGCCAGTCTAGCTTAAATGGTTAGCTTCAAAGTCTGTGATGAAACTTTGTATCAAAAGCAAAAAAACAAAACATAACAACAAAAACAGTTGGGGGCTGGAGAGATAACTCAGCATTTAAGAGCACTTACTACTCTTGTAGAAGACATGAGTGGCCAGCATGTGAATTCACAGTTGTCTGTAACTCCAGTTATAGGAAACCTGATGCCCTCTTCTGGCCTCTGCAGGTGCCAGGCACGTAGGTAGTGCACAGACATACATGTGGCCACAACAGCCATATACATAACATAGAAAGTAAATAATAAATAATAAGGTGGACAAAAATAGACAAAGATACCCAGTGTCACCCTCTAACCTCATGTGCACACATCTGTATACACATGTGCACACACACACTACACACATGAAGAAAGACAGAGAGCAAGGGAGGGAGGGAGGGAGGGAGGGAGGGGGGGGGCGGG